ACAAGGATATTTTGGAAAGACAACACTAATTTATGATTAACAATTAACTTAACTAATTTTTTTTAATATTCACAAGTTATTTACCTAGATCTTATATTAAGGATTTGAGATAGTAATTAGATATGTCATATATTACATCTTGTCCTTAATATAAAAACTGGTTGGGAATTCAGTTTAGTCTTAAATATAAGACCTCAATTCACTGTTTCTCATATTTATCCATTTTACCTTCAACTAATATCCATATGGCGATTGCACATGTTAAGAAACTTTCATTAAAGTGTATTTTCAATGCACATGATTTATGGGAGTATTTTAGGAAAAGCAACATCAAATTATTACAAATAATTAACTTATTAACTAATTTTTTATATATCTACAAATTAGTTATCTAGCTCTTATTTTAATAACTGGAGGTAGTGTAATGTAACATAGCTATTGCTATACTTCGGGGAAAATGTATGCATGCAATAAATGTAAAAGTAGGATGCAAAAAATGTGCTCTCATGGTCAACAATAGATTGAAACAATGTGATCTTTGAATCTGATAATAAAAAATTACAGTCCTCTATATATGTTAATAGTACGGAAAACAGTGCTTTCGGATTGGAGGTGCAAAAGTTTATTGGAAAAACAGAAATTTGCTCAAATTGAATTCCTAGAGAAGCCAGCTTAGTCAGTTGCTGATTAGTTAGCCAATACTAGTCTTAAGAACGGGTGTCCTTGGGTTATTTGCCCACTACCTCAACTTTTGGAATTGCTAGACCGTGTTCTTATCTTCATTATCAAAAGTTAAATAAAATTATAACCTAAAAAAGAACCAAAAATGGAGTTTTGAAACTTGATTAAGAGCCTCTTTGTTCCTGAAAGGGAATTTTGAAACCGGAAAATATAATTTCATTATATAGAACGAAATACCAACAACATTGCAAAGCTCAAGAAAACCAAATCATATCAACAACGTAACGAGAAGGACCAACAAAAAGCAATTTACCACCCAAACAACTAAACAAGGAATAGACATGTATCCGATGTCAACAGAGAACGATGAATCATAGAACATAAATGTAATTATAGACACACAAAAATAAGAGAAGAACATAATACTCCTATATAACCGACGAGTCAACAAAATAAAATTTGTGTCTGTACAAATAATTAATCAAGGTTTAGAGTGCAATGACATGATGGTATTTACATAATAAACCCTTAATTAACAAAATAATGAACTAATTAACTACCAAAGATATAGCCGTTAAGGATGGGCTTATGCCATCAAGGGAACGAAACCCTAATACAAACAGGCACATATCCTAATGGTTTCTTCCATCTGAACCGAATTTGACTCCGACAATGAGGTCTTTGCTAGAACAGCAACGGTTTCTTCCATCTTGATCACTCGCCGCGACGGAGCGTGGGCTTATGCCATCCTTGGTACAGTACCGTTCTTCTTCTTCTTCGGTGGACGGAGGAACATTCAGATCAGGGAGGAGGAAAGGTCTTGAAGATTCAGCACAAGACTGTTTCACCTTCTTCCTTGTCAGCGATTCATCATTCACAGCGCATAAACACGATCTTCTCTTATTATCACCACACCTCGAGGTAGAATTCCGGTGATGATTCTCCGATGGTTTTGATGATCTCTTGAGAGTGATTCTGATGTTCTTTGAATTTGGGAACGGAACAGGCGTTTTCCGGCGACTCAGCGGACTGGGCCTGCGCATGGATCGCTTCTTCATGGAGCCCCAGCAGAATTGAATCTCAGAATGACGAATCAAACGAGGAAATTGAAGCAAAATATGAGCGACTTCCAGTTCAGTCTTATCAAAAGCCATAAGGGCGAACGAAGAAGAAACGTTGAAATTCACAGCTTGCAAACAAAAGGATGGATTGAGAAGAAGATTTAAATAGCGAGATTAAACGGAAGGAATTGGTTTCTTGCGCAGGAATCCGATTTGGATCAGTAGAAATTTAGCGCGCTAATGAGATGCTCCTCACACTCAGTGATCATTTATAGTCATTTTTAGCTGAGTTTCCTGATGGCTCAGCTCTTTATTTTGACTAAACAATGAGTTCTTTTTTATCAAAGATAAACCGTAGTAGTGTTATTTCTTCATTCATTAAAAATGATTTTCTGAATAGGCTGTCAAATCTTAAAACATCTTTTGTTAATGTTTTTTTATTTATCGGATAATTTGAGAAATGGAAATTTAATTTGACCACAATCTGTATCTCGTTTATTTTTATTTCAGTTTACACAATGCTCTTTAATTGAAGCTTTGCTGCTTAGGCCATTGAAAATAGATTATTTCGATTTTTTTTTAAAATTCAATTGGCCAAAAAATAATTTAACTAGTGTAAATTTCATTTCATTTTATTTTTAATTTAAGAGATGTGCATATTATATCTCTATTTATATCGATATATCTCTATTTATTTCAGTTTGTGTGAATTGAACCAATTAACTTGACCAACGCCAGATAAAATTTCTTAAGCAGCTGAAATTTGGACGTTAGGTTAAGATTTGAACATGAATTTGAACGATGATGAGATTGAAGTGATTAAAATTTAATTTTCACAAAGCTTCCTCAATTGATCAAGAAGTCTGAAGCTCGTAACAGGTTACCACTCACTACAAAACCAAAAAAAAAAAAAAAAGAAGTTAATTAGCAACAGAAATTTGTCTGTCGCTAATCTGTGGAAACATCATGTTAAATTTTCGATGCATAGATTTCTGTACTCTTTGCAAATTAACATATGCAGGTCAAACATCAAGGGACTTCTAAAAATGGGAAGAGTCAACTGGCATCCTGCTGATTCTGTCCCTAAATTAACTTAGGGATGTAAAGTGTTCCGCCATTATTTTTCATTGCTAATTATTTCTGTTTTTTTCGTAGTGATTGAGATGGGAGAATTACAATCAGATCTCAAAAAAAGAATTTAATTACCTTAAAATTTATTAACAAGTGAAGAGTAAGCAGTGACAAGTTTCAGAGCAGATAATGATAATAGGTTCAAGCTGGTCACTTGTCATTAATACTTTTTGGTAATTAATTTTTTTTTTGGGACTTCTGGATAATTCTCCCTATCAAGATTGATCTTTTGAAAAGAAAACTATGGGAGAATGATGAAAGTTTGCCGGATTCAAAAGGCGAATTATTTCTCGTGGTTAACAAGATCATAAAGTGCCTCCTTATCAAATTCAAGTTTGTTCTAGTTTGTAATGTCACATTTAATTATTATAATGATATTTTTCCCTCCTCGCACTTTAACAGCTGGATTCCTCAGATTTTAACTACAATGAATTCCTATAGGAGAGTTTGAGATGATCCATCATATTTACGGCATATAAATCGTATTTGATTGCTGTTCTTGCCAATAATTTCTTTGGTTTTAATTATTCCGAAATTTTTGCCCAAATAATGTTTGTAATTATTCAACGTGTCTTGATTGATTTGACCGATTTAGATAAATTTTTTAAAATTTTAAAAAATATAAATTATGTATTGTTTTTAGGGTTAAGGACATATTTTATTATGAGCATATAACACCATAAACTTTTTTTAGGTGCAAAAATATATATAAAATTTTTCAAATAGCACAAAAATACCATGACCATTAAGTTAACTAAGATTGACCATCTAATAAACATATAAACCAAGAAAATAGTACAAAAATATACAAAGTTTTTAAAATGACACAAAAATACCACGGTTTCTACAAACTTCATGTGTATTTTTGTATAATTTTGAAATGTTTGTGTATTTTTGTACCATTTTCTTAGTTAACATGCTTGTTAACCAATATAATTAACATTAGTCAACTTAACAGGCGTGGTATTTTTACATCATTTTGAAAATTTTATATGTATTTTTACACCAAACAAAAATTTATGATATTTGATGCCCATATATTTGCATAACCCTTGCTTTTAACATTACAAATTAAATATATGATATATGTATATATAGATTCGTGTTGTTATAGTTGTGGTCAATTATTCTGTTATGTTTTAAAAACCAAAGTATACATTTAATTATATAAGTTTGCATCAAGTTTCAGTTTAATCCTTTAAATTTATAAAATGTATTTTTAGTCTCCTAATCTTAGCATTATTAGTCTTATTTAACGTAAAGTGCGGACTCATTAAATTTAAACAATAACTTTGCAATTAAATAATGACAAAACATTTAATCTTTTGACATCATTAATTTGATTAAATTAAAATACCAACTAGGTCAGCATAGCATTTCTAGTTTTTTTTTTTTTTTTATATCTTTTCCAGCAAGTTTATTTTAATTTTAAAATATAAAAATAATTGTATTGACAACAGTGTATAGCAAATGCTAAGATTGTTCTACAACCCCTTCCATTTCCATATCAAACTATCCATAAGATAACCCATAAATGACAACAGTATATAGCAAATGCTAGGTTTGTTTTCCACCCCCTTCCATTTTCCATACCAAACTGTCCATAAGATAACCCATAAAGCACATCATATATAGCTGATACAGTCATGCACTAGAAGAAGTGCCACCTCCCCCGTCCATTTTAATCTATCCCTGCCGTCCAAAATAATTAATAATTTTGATGGACAGACGTCATGCTGCCACTTGTACCAAAGACAAAGCATTCAATAGCCTCAGTGCAACGGAGAAACATTACGAAATGCAAGATTTTTTTTTTTTAACATACTAAAAGGAAGAGAAGTTTGGCTTTGAATACACGCTAAATTCCTCTGTTGTGACATTACCTTTTGACGATTTTGACTTTCCTTCCCCTCCCTTTCCTCTAATTTCCCATTCCAACTAGCTCAGATTTTGAACAATTCATCTATAATATTGGATAAGATTATTATTAAAATGTTAAATTCTAAGACAAATAAATTCAAACTGCTACGATTTGATTACAATAGAATCGCAATGAAAATAAGCGTATATTTTCAGTAAAAGCGTGTTGTTTGAGGTGAGAAGTAGAGAGGAAAGATAGTAGTCCGATTCAGTAAAAGCGTAACCCTGCAATTTGCATTCATTATTACAAACAAGCAAAGCTTGATTGAAATGCCAAGCATCTTCATCTTCTGCTTCCAACATATACTGTGATTAAATTCAGCATTCACAAGGCAACACGTCTGCAGTACTTCACGAGCTCGTAAATATAAATCAATATCTTCAGTATGGAGTACCATTGACCATAGCAAACAAAATGAAGAAAAATATCCAGTCCTATCATCATCACAGCAAAACTTAATTCTGATCTGAAGTACAACGATAACTAGAATTATGTCCCAAAGGACCAAAAAAGAGAGTCATGTGCCGACTAGTCCTCGAAAAATTTCTCCTGCAGAGACCAAACAAATGAAACATAAGCACCCCGCATGATACTCTTAATAATGTAGGTACAACTAAGAGCAGAAACACTAGAAATTTCGTGGAGGATACACATAAAGGATATCATTACCACGGACATCACCAATAGTAAAAATATCAAGGTTAGAAGAGTCATCAGCTTTTGAGATAGACAAACAATCCACGATACACAACATCGAGCTATGAAGGACATGAAAAAATATATTATAACCAACGTCATTCTCAATCCTTAAATTGAATTCACCGCAAAATACAAGTTCAACCATTTCAACAAGAGGCATGGAAGATATAATTATGATAGCTGAAAACTACCGTAATTACTAAATAATCATGTATTATTGTATAAGCCAATCTTTTAGGACGGAAAAACCAATAGAATAATAGATTGGAAATTATGTCTAAAGTATGTCAACATGTACTTCACATTACAATCCTCTATCTACATGGCCGAGCCCAAGGTGTTCTTTAACTAGTTTAGTTAGTCATTTTGTTGTTGTCACAAGGCATGATATATCTAGCTGTCTTAACCCCAAAGTCAAAAAGCAAGAAAAGAATGCAGCGTAGTGACAATACACTATTGCATCAAATAAACTATCTCAATACAGAACTATTGCACCTGGAAAGCAAAATTCACATGAAAGCAAACAGAGATAAGATAAAGACACAAACCTACCAATTTCATAATACTTCATATATTGCTTGGGTACATGAATACTCTTACCCTAGCTCCCTGCAAAGGAATTCACCAAACTTAATGTCCACATTAATGTCGATAAAAAATCTATATAATAAGACAAAGGGCCCCAAATTATTACCATCGATCTGGGAGGCAAGTTTGACTTGAATTTGGCTCTTACGACACCACTGTTACCATGTGGCCTGGTCACTTTACCCCAGATGCAGCGATAATGAGTCCCATTCTTCTTAACCTTGGCCTTATAGATATATGCCATTCTCTTGCCACAATACCAAGCTACCTCTTCTTTGGTGTTCACTCCCTCAATTTGGATCAGAGATGTGTTGGGGTACTGGTTCGACTTCGACCTGAACAACATCATTTTCTTAGCACAAGCATATAATCTGATAGATCCTATCATGTGAATCATGACCAAAAAATTCTCCACCTTAATATCTCCCCTCGACAAAACTACTAATTGCCTTGGATTTCTCCACAACCAACCACGAACTGGAACAATGAAGTGTCACAAATGTAAAATTTAATTGCCAGAAATATGTAAGAGACTATTACCTCTTGTATCCAAGAATGGTGCCTCTTACATAGAGCCTACAAACACAGAAAAAGAAGAATCAGAAATGTTAAATTAGCTTAACTTGTACGAGAACTCTTGAAAGTTAAATTATTACACCAGAATTAAATGCGAAGATATGAAAAACCAGGGACTATTGGCGTTTTAGAACAGTTAACACCAATGTACATATGCACACCTTCATTGCAAAAATTATGACAGACTTTGTCCCAAGTCATATTAATGACATAACGTTGCCACAAACGGAAATTGCAAGCTTAGAACCCTATTTGCTATCGCTTAGAAAATTATTACTCGATTGCTTCGAATAGATAAAAATTTTCTGAAGCAACCAAGTTGAATTGCATTACGAAATTTATATTGATAACCGATGGCTATGTCATTCGTCCAAGTCAAATAAGCTTTTTTGAAAAGCAGTAGTTTTGTAGATATACTCGGATGGCTAATAGTAGACAATAAATCAGGGGCACGTTTCAATTCTATTTGCTTTTAGCAACATATTACTCTAAATTTCTAATTAAAACTTTAATAACAGGTTCTATATGATCATTCCATGAGCAGGTTCGCTATCAGCTGAACTGAATAATTATGGCTTTTCGGAAAGGACTACTGTTATACACGATCAAAACTAGGATAGTCACACTTAGAGGCTCCAGCAAGATCGAAATAACTAAGAAATTCAAAATAATGAAGAATAAAATTTCATAGCCTTGCATAACTATAAGGCAAAATGAGAGGTTTTAGAACTAGCAGTGTACAAATCGAACCAAAATGCCGAAAGTTTTAAGCGAGAGTAAGGGATGACCGAGCACGAGAAGAAGTACGAAGAATTGAAATGCCTAGAAGCAAACCTGACGCGCTCTCCTTGCTGTTCCTTCACCATCTTCGTCTCTATGCGCTGGCTGACCTTGACGGAGGAGAGAACCAGGTACACCGCCGCGTCGCCCTAACACCGTGCGGATCGGATTGGCGAGTTTTATAAGGTAAATAAGAAGACGAAGATTTTACGCCGTGCTTTAGGGTTTTCATTAAAGGACCCAAAAAAAAGTGGGCCCTGGGCTTCTGAATTGGAGTTTTTTTGGGTTCAAAAGCCCGATAATAAGGTTTTTTTTACAAAAATTACACCCCAAGTGTTTTCTTCTGGTATGGCCATCACTTGATGAAAATTTCCAGGACTCTCTCGAACTTGAAAATTAAATTATGTTCCTTGAGTTAATCTCTTTAAAATAATAAAAATTTAAAAATTATTACAATTATATGCGTATATATATTATATTTACATTTTTTATCAGCTTGCTTTCCAAGTTGTAACTGAAAATAATACTCTCCAGGCTTGTTTAAGAAATAAGATCATTAGCGTGAAATTCCAAGTTTGTTAACATCAAGATTTCCAACTTTGAGCATTAGAATTGGATTATCAATATAAGATTGGAAGAGGAAGGAATATTTGCTTTGATCAATTAGGATGTCAGGCAAAGAAACAGCATGATTCACAATTTCACATTATCTGAAAATTTTTGTAAAATTCTGTCAGAGATGAACGCAGCCGTTTCAAACATGACAACTCTGCTTATCATCCAAAGCTTATTAATTAATCACTTGGTTATGTATTTCTAGTGTTGGGTAATTGGGTTGGAACTCTTGGCCTTTATATTTGCTTTAATTTTTTCGGATAACAGAACTCTAGGTCTAACTAGTTTAAACTAACCTTATATTTAGGACTATAGATAATATGATTTATACTTCAATAGCTTGTTTCATATGAGAAATCTCATTAACACTACTTTAAAATTTAACTGTTCAATTTCATCCTTATTTAATATGAGGACTAGTTTGAAACTAACTTTTATATTTAAAACAGAAGATAATGTGATTTATACTTCAATAGCTTGTTTTCATAAATAATAAGTAAATATTATAATTATATATTTGTGTAAAAATTTAATGAAGTGACTTGAAAAACACCATCTCTCCCCTCTACACCTTATGAATAATAAAAGAATAAACTCATATTCTCTTTTCTTCTTATATCTCTCTTCATCGCACTATATCAATATGCCCTCACTGCACACCATCAGTAAGAACTAATTAGGTCCTAGTCTTTACAAGTTTAACCATCATCCTCCAATTTCAAACAGGTCTAAAGCATGGTGTCCGAAGTCCCCTTATGTGAGCTCAAGATCAAGAACAAACACTCAGCAATTGATTTTAGTGGCCACGAAATGCCACAACCGTCACATAGCTAATGAGTCTTGCACATCCAACCATCAAACTTCCACTCGACTGGCCAATTCCCTGTGGACGAACTGAACAAAATTGATTGTCCGATTCAACTTGCAGATTAGTTTGGCAACACTAAAAAGAAAGCACTTTTATGTTTTACAAAACAAAATTTCTCTCAAATATTTAACACGTACAGAGCAAAATTGCTTGAAATAACTGAAACTAAACAAGCACTCTATTCTACCTAATGTGCTTTTACTTCACCGTGGCTGAGGCGCGCGCACAGAGAGGTTACAAGCAAAACAAGCTAAAGCCGTGGTGATGATCTGTGTTCTTAAATGGAAGCCACTTCTATCCCATTATTGCATATCAAGTAATACATTCAATTAAAAAAAAAAAAATTACACTTGTCCTTCTTAAAGAAAAAGAAAGGGTACTGAGGAAAAAAAAAACATGAAGTGCATTTTTTCTTACCTATTTTCTTTGTTGTATCCAATAACAGTAAAAAAAAAAAATCATTATTTACCCTTCTATAAGTGACTTACATATAGGAATAGAGTAGTATTCCTTTCTCCTATTTATAAGATAAAGATAGAAGATTTTTTTGTCCTATTTACAAGTCACCTCATTTAATTATTAGCATGAACGTATTTTTTTTTTTTATAAAAAAAGTGCCTATATGAAATAGGGAGAATTATAATAAAGTGCCAAGAAAAAAAAAATTATTAAAAAAATCTCAATAACAACCTAAACAACTTGTAATAATAAGTTTCAGAATAAAAAATAATAACTTTTAGAATTCATTTTGTAATTATTTTCCTTCTTTGGAACCTGATTATAATTCTTCCTATTAAATAAGAGTAAAATTGAAAAGTAGTTATATTTTAAGGGAGAATTAATTTACTTTAAAATTTTTCTTGATCTGATGTACCAAATGCCTTCTACATAAGACTAGAGGAGTATAAATTAGGAGGAAGCAATCCTAGGTGCTATCTTAAGAAGTAAATAGATAAATAAATTGTCTACAATGAATGAGGGGCTTATTATCCCTAAATACCATTCGTCTTTTCTATGCAATCCCTAAATGCCATTCTCATCTCTATGCTTTTGAGATAATCTAATACAATTATATAATTAATATTCATACTCCTCTGGTTCTATTTATGAGGAAAAGAGAGAAGAAATTTCTTGATCCTATTTATAAGACAGAAGGAGAAATTTTTCACATAAATATACAATTTTATCATCTACTTATTATTACGTTGACTTTGTTTTTATGGAGTATAATATATAGAAAAAAACCTAAGTCAAGTTGCTTATATCCATTATGTGAAGCTCTCCAATCATGCATGCCTATGTGGGGTTTTTTTTTTGAAGTTTTATGTGGATTTATAATTAAATGCTATTAAAGCTAATGTTTCAAAAATAGGACACATAATCATACATGATTAGAGAGTTTGACATAATAGATATAATAGACTTGATATAAGTATTGTCTTAATATATATTAAAAAAAAGATAAAGTTGGAAAGTTGTGAAATTATAAAGAAAAGTTAATAATTAAGGTTTTTCTTAATTTGTATAAATTACGTTAAAAATGATTTATAAATAGGACCAATTAAGCATTTTCTTTGTTCTTATTCTTTGTTCTTCTGGGACAAGCTCGAGTTTCTATTTATAATGATAGTTGATCAAACCATGCACAACTGCAATAATAATTTATCCCCAAGCTAAACTAACTCTACATTTCTATGGATGCAGTAGCCAAATAAGACTTTACGCTTAGTCTAACAAAGCAAAAGGATTATGTAAGTTAGCGAGGGAAGATAATCCCTCGTTTGAGTTGATTATTCTTAAGAAAATTTTAAAAGTAACTTAAAACATATTAAATCAACAATTAGGAAAAAGAAAAAAAGATACTGCAAGGGAAAACTCAAACTAATAATTTTTTTTATCATTTTTTAAGTTTTCCTTTCCCTGTTTTTCTCTCGTTATTCCATTCATCCAAACCAAGCTGTAGAGAGATTACTTTAGACGTGACAAAGTTTGAATGACAACTACGGCCGTAACATTAATAAAGTCCCACGTTGATTAACAATTGTCCTACATACAAACTCCACATTCAAAGCAAACATCATGTATTTCTTAAGTATAATACCAAAAAATGTATCATTAGAGTATGAGTTAATAATCCCAAGAGAACTAGACAGCCATATCCCAACAGTATCTAGAGAAACATGACTTGATGTGTGATATGACGGGGCATTAAATAGAATTTTAGATGAGAATGGGAGTGACAGAAAAAAAAAATTCCAGTATTCTCATTAAAAAAAAATTTAAAGGTTAGATTTTAAGAAAATATCAGCAATGATAATACGAACATAATAAACATTACATGCTTTTTTCCTAACTCATATAACAACTACTACGTATATATCCACACATTAAATGAAGCCCTTGTTTTATTCTGCACGCCACATACCGTTGAAAGATGAAGGTGCTATTTCCAATTTAATTATTAAAATAAATGTTTCTCTACTATTTAGTGAAAATATACCTTATGGTTATTATCACTATGGCTTTAAATTGATCCTTCTCGTCTAATTTTAGTATTGACTCATTGTTGCCCTTTAACATTTAAAAATAATACTCTTCCGGAGGAGTATAAGACCCTTATACACATTAATTTTAGTGTGTATAAGGGTCTTATATTTAGAACTGGAAAAATAAATTTTATTATTGAGCCCTTATTACTCAAACTCGTGCAACCCTAATCAAGGTTGATGGAAGGGAGAATTATCATGAGGTTCTAAAAAAATAATTTAATTACCAAAACACCCTATGGACCATTTATCATTTTCTACGCTGAAACTTGTTATTATATGCTCTTTTAGTTGTCAATAAACTTTAGAGTAATTAAATCCCTTACTTGGGATTTTATTGCAATTCCCTTTTATTAAAATCATGCTTCATTTCAGGCCCAAAATCATTTTTATACAAGAATTACAATATTCATGAATTATTTGAGTCATATATAGTACAACTTATTTCTCAACCTTTTTATGTAAATGCATAATCCCCACACTAGTTATAAAGTATGGAAATAAAATAACATGAATGAGACAATATAATTCCATTTAAAATCATAAAAATATCACTGATCATATGTTTGAATAAAAACAAGATTAAGAAAGGGAAAGTCAACGCATCTCTATTATAAAATATTATCTATGATCCTAATTATAAGACCAACCATGTCATATGACTAGGACAAAAGGTGGTAGTAGTACTGGTACGCAGTACTAGAATGTCAGCGCACTTTTACCAAACTCCAAGTCAAACATAATCTATGAAACCAAAATGATATCCGTGCAAGGTAATAAACTGCATTATTCTTTAGACATTGAAGGGCAACAACATTGACTCAGTCAAAAATAAGAAAAGCAAATTAAAAATTATACAATACTAGAAAGCCCAAAAGGATTATTTTCATTATTTATATTAAATCAGGAGCTAATGAGTGAGATAAAAGGTGATGATAGGCCCAAAAAGGGACTTATTCATATGGATAGGCCATTTTTAAAGGCGAAGTGGCAAGTTCATGGTCCAACCAAATACAAAACAAAAAAATCAAATAGGAAATTAAGTGAGGCCACGGCTCCATCACAAAAGGTACAAATTAAAGACACTACCAAATATTTGCCCCGAGAAGAAGACACTACCAAATAAAATCCATTTTTCAACAATTCAAGATACTTACGGTATGGATACTTTGGTGGGTAACTGACAATTCAGAAGTCCATTAATTATTAATCAATTAAATATTTGAACTAATTATTCAATAAACATTATATGTTTGTGCATATTCTTAGAAACACAAGATCATCAACATCAAAGTAACAACAACAACGACAAGGGACGGAAAAGAGAAACGTACCAGTAGGCACAACCCGACGCAGCAAAGTTTTATGGTTTTCCTATTGGAGCTACTCCTGCAATCACAGGAATTGAAAAGGAAGCAAAATAAATATACGTATATGCAACCCTTTTGGAAGAGAAAGAGAGACTTCTTTAAACTATTTTCTCTTCCGAACTAATTAATACCTAATAATGAAATTGATAATGGTAACGTCAAATGTCAGCCGAATTTTTCCCTTTTTTTTTTTTTTTTTGACAATGTTCCGTTTAGACAGATGTAAAGATAGAATTTCAACCGAATGGCCTTGACTTGCTATTTTAAGCTAGGGTTTGCAATTTTGCACAAATAAAAGTAACATATTCAGTTTATCACTATAACATAACAAGCTTCCACAGGATAAGCACTACAGCGCAATCAATTCTACCAAGGACCTTCATTGTAGATCCCATCATCACATGATAACATGTGAAATACAACCTTATTTTACATGTCCAGCTTCTTCGTTGAACTTTCCCACTATTATCTGTTGATGAGATGTGACACCATTCATAAGAAACCCATATTTTAAGGCATTATTTTCCACATGCCAACAAAAAGTAACAAGATTGCTGGCTTAAACATGATAAGTAGTAATCTCACTAACAATAAAACCTGTCAGATTGATCAAGCAGCTCACTGCCAATTCAAGCAAACATTGAATGTTTCAATGTTCTAAAGCGGGTGAATCCATGTCCAATAAATTACAATCCAATATTTTTTCCCCCAAGAAATGGCATTGCTATAATGGGTCTATGGAAATATGAAAATGTTACTAACTCAGTTCCATTTGATACATCAGAAATAAGGGTGTAACGAGTGCGGGGACATTTAGTAATTGTGTAGCAAATTTCAGCAGCATGCACTGGGATTTTCCAAAAAAAAAAAAAATCTCTTATTAATAAATCATTTGTTTATCTAAACCAATAGAAATTTATCCTCATCTATCATATGTTAAAAAGAAACAATTATTTACAGCTTCTAAAGGGGAGAAACTCATCTGCCAAAAAACTCTACAAGAATCCCATAGGTTAGTTATTTCATCTTCCAACGAATAGGCAACCCAAAATAGTTATCAACCAACAGTATCACATCATTTAGCCCTTCTTCAGTGATGCAGACCAATATCCTGAAACAAAACAAATACTGAAATAAACACCCATTTAATGATTTATCTTTATTCAATTTCAGTTATCATCACCAGTAGGACTTGATCGCAGAAACACCTATTCAAACTTCTTTTATTGAATTTTTAAGAAATACATATGAATAACTTTGTCATCACCTCTTAATCCAAAATCATACAACATGAAGAATCTAGATATTTTCCAGATGTATATTATTCCTTCGTTCCAATTCTATCCAATGAAATTTCTTTAGAAGTTTTACAGTCATAGTTGACACAATTACTACTATATTAAAAAAAAACTTAAATCAACACCCCCCAAACGCATGTTTACTGATTTGTCTATATTCAATTTCAGTCATCATTATTAACAAAACTCTCAGAATAAAAAGCTCTTGCACTGTTGAAAAAAATTGAACCACTTAACTGACCATCATACTGGACAGTTTAGACCACAAGGCCAGTAAAAGAAAAATAAACTAAATTGACAACAGCTATCTAAAATCGGTCAAAAAAATGGATCAAAAATAGAACTCTAGGCTCTCTCCAGTGGCCAACAACCTAATCCAACAAGAAGGTAATCCCTTTGTATTTATAGGCCCAACTCTCAATTCTTTCATAATTCACCAACGTGGAACTTTGATACATCCCTTCTAACATCCTAGAAGTTATGTTAAAAGCAAAAGTATAGCCGGAGCTTACTACAGGCAAGGGAAACCTAGATAAGGAAAATGACGTGGGCTGTCTGCCATTCAAGCAGAGTATTAAAGGGGAATATGTTCTATAAAGTTTTCTACACTCCCACCACCACCAGTACAGCAAGATCAACAAGCTCTGTCCCCACCAAGTGAGGCCAACTATATGACGACACAGTGCCATTGTACGATATGAACCACCAAATCTGATAATATATAAAATTAAACCATTCTTTAATAGTGAATTACAAACAAGTGTCTATAAAACCCAGCACTTCTTTTTCTCAACCATAGCTACTATGCAGTCTCTAGTTTACTGGTGGGTTTAACCAAAGGTAAGCTAACAACCAAATAGGAAATGAGGCATCTAATAGACTTGTAAAAAGAACAAAAATCAACTTCAATTTGAACACAAGTACAATGTGCTCATTACCTCGTCATAAGTTTCCCTATTGGTGAGAATTCTGAAAAATTGAGTGATTTAAACTTCCTTTTGAGTTTTTGTCAAAATTCCGTGGACTGAATGTTCACACTTAAAAGTTCAATTTTAAAGATATTGGCTAAAATAATCTCTGATGAACCTAATTAATAAAATACATATCATTTTTTTTTACATGGAAATTTGGACTACGGAGGTTTTGCTACGGTTGGGTTCTCGGTTATTTTTTATGGAAGACATTTTCAAGGTGAGTGGGTTAGACAGAGGGATCAGTGTCACTTACTTCGGTTCTGTAATGGTTAATGTGATTAGTGTGATGTTATCCAGGGTATGTGACACGAACCTTGTTAGGGCTTTGACATTATTTGACTTTGTAGTCATAGTACTAGTTGCCATAAAATTCTTTGCTCAGAGTGTAGCATTCCATGGGTCCCAGTTGAGCCAGGTATCCCACGTGTCTCAATCAGAATATGCTTTCACTTTTTTATAGTTCGGGATTGGGACTTTACTTGTAATAGCTGAAGCAACTACGTCTTCACCTTGAATAGGAGCGTTCAGAAACATCTCTAAGGGGATCGGCTAATAAATTAGGAATTTATCTTTCTCCTTGGGTGTCTGAGGCTCCTCTCTAACCATACTTCCTCGTTATGAGAATTTTGAATCTATAAATCATTCTCCTCCATCCATTTTTGGTTGTCTGTGCCAATTTCACATAATTATATCTTAAGGAAGCCAGATCAGGTAAATATCAATGCAAGATAGAAAATAAACTAAACATTCACAAAGGACAAACCGCATGCACACCAGACAACCAGAAGAATACGAATCCCCAGGAAGTGAAAACATACAAAGTATGATTGCAAAGTACAAGAACTCTCACAACTCATCCAATGCAATCCTTGGTGAAATGGATGTTGAAAAGAATGTCTGAATCATGGAGAGTACTACGCCCACTTCCTCTGGAAGTATAATATCATCCTGTGGAGAAAAATATTTCATTAAAATCTCAATAACAAAGGACATTAAATATTTTTCAATCAAACCAGAAGCCATTCTTTCTGACCAAATCTAGCCACCAAACATTCAAAATTAAGGTATTTCATTCAAAGTAAAAAAATGAATCAATAATGAATACCAAGAAATATATTCCTAAAGTTCGTCACTAATTTAATCATCAATGTAAAATGTTAACTTCCCATCATTGAACAGCCACCCACATGAGCAAATGTGTTGAGGCGTGGTAAGGAATGGAATGGCCAGGAAGCTGACCTGGTGGTTGGCTACTAATAGTATTTGAAAATTAATGACTCAAAAATAGGAGTTGCCTACATCTCTTGTTCCTGAGGATCTTCAGGGTAGCCAATGTTCCTGTTTATCATGCTTTTCCAAATTTGCATAATCTTTCATCATGCATAACTTTCCAATTCCATGATTTCGGACTTCTCCCCAGGTTTTTTTTTTTGGGGGGGGGGGGGGAATTGTGTGCTGTTTTGAATCTTATTTGTTTCACCAGATGTCCCTCTTGTAGATCCATGAATACGAGGCTTTAACCCATTCTGAAGCCTTGAACTTTCATCCCCTTCAGATCGGAGAGTTTCTGGATTCAATTGCTGCTTTCTCTTGCAAGCCTTATTTCTCCATTTTTCCTTCCCGCAGGGCAGCACTTTTACTGGCGAGATTTAATAGGGAAAACTAAAGCACCCCTTGAAAGGAAATCTTCTACATGGAAGAAAGCCAAAATAATGCCAGTGACATGCTGCAAATTTGAACACTATAACCCCATATTTATTTCAAGACAGATTGTGAAACAACTTTGCCATCTTACATTGCAGTATGTCTACTGGGTACTGGAATAAGTTGTTTAGAAACTTTGGCCAGATTTGAGTTTGCACAAAAAATTTGGATAACTTTTAATAGATTTAGTATAATTGTTTTGGAAGTAGAGACAGTAGAATTCTGTTCATGCTTGTTTTAGAAGAATTTCTTTGACTAATATAAATAGGGATTGGAGGCGTTGTCATTTTCTTAAGCATCTCTTCCTCTTTTACCCTTTAATTTTCCCCCTTTTTCTTTTTTATTTTTCCGTTTATAAGGTTGTCCAATCCTCCTTTCTCATAATTGTTCCATTTTGAAAAGGCTTTTCCTGCTGTAGTTTGAACAAATAAAAAGTTAAAAATGCCTAGTGCAGTAAAGGAAGAGAGAACAGATTCAGACAACCATTAATTTTCCTCAAATATGTTGGGAAGAATAATTATAAGCATCCACGGAAAGATCAAGACTTGCACCAATTAAAGCAACATATGAGTAGTATTAGAATCACTAATCAGATACACTGAAACTTAAATAATGCAACGCATGCAGAAGGGAACAACGTGGTAAACAACAGATAAACATCACCCTCAATTGTTGTATAGCAGACCACAATTGCCCAGGACAGAAGTACATACCTACTGCCAAACCCCTTGTCAATTCCAAAATATGCAAAAGGTAAACCTGTAAAAACAAAAGAGTTACAAATGCAATAAACTATCAATAATGAAATTAAACATTCAAAGAAACCTTAAGTGATCATTGCGTACCTAAATTAAAGATCAAATCCCTCTAATTCAGTGATCCGCGACACCTGCATGTTAAGCACATAAAAAATTGAGAACATGTACATTTTATAGGATGTTGAAACCAGACAACATAAAATAGATGGTTAACCCATAAGATTTTAGAGATGTGAAGTCTTAGTCTTACTTTTTGGACCCACAGTTGCAGGGAATCTTATTCTCCTCCAAAGGAAATTTATAATTGTATGTAATTTCTTCACCAGCAGCTATATGACGTTTTGCATATATGAAAATCTTCTTTTGACCCTCAACAGATATAACCTTGGTATAGCAATTAGGCTGCCAAAAATTCAAATTGAGACATAAAATAATGACAAAAAGCAGCATGATGCGCACACACAATACTCAAATACTTGTTTGAGAAATAAAATGATGATAAAAAGCACAATTCGACTTGTTTCCACATTTTTGCATAAAGACGCTCACATTCAATTTAAGAAATATTAACCACAAGTACCTCACAAGAGTGATTTATAAATCTTGCAATACCACCTCTTTTTGTAGCATCAACCTGCACACAATCAAGCAGAACAAGAAGCATCGTATGATTTCAATAGATGTTGCTCAATTCAAAGCTCGGGAGATTAATGGCAAGAAAAAAGAAAAGACAAAAAAGGAAGCTCTGGAGATTCACAAATAAAAGTTATTTACAATTATATCTAACATAAAGAAACTGGAACTCCTGTTCTCAAGAATAAGAGGTGATAGAAATGTCATGTGGATCATCCTATTGCTCAAACCAGTGACTATTACCTATTTTAGCTATCACTCCCACAATCCTGTTTTTGTCAATACTAAATTTACCAAGTAATTTAGATAAAATACTAGCTCTTCAATGTGCCAATCATCCCTTAGGTCCCATGCCTTGTGTCCCAATTTCTAGCCAGAAGCATATATTTCTCTATCTTCAAGTTTGCACTCCCATAAGCTTTGATTATACCTATGTGATTCTAATCAGCAAATAATGTAGAACTTTAAAAACTCATCATAGTCTTTATGGTTTAAGTAACCTTGACATTTCAAGTTTCAACCGCATTCAGTTTTCCAGAGAGAAAATCATTGCAATAGATCAACATAAAGATGGCAAGGCTGAGTATCAGATATATCTAACACAACGATTATCATTGTGTTAACAACTATCTTAAAGAAATAAGATGAATAAAAACTTCAAGGAAAGCAAATGGCAAAACTTTTACAATACCAACCACATAGCCATCATCAAGTCTAAACAAGTAACTGCTGCCAATTCCCATCTTTTCATATTGACGTTCACGTATATCAGATATCTGGGAGATGAAAAATTAAATATTAATTAATTGGTCCAATGGAATAGCAATTAAAAGCGAAAAAGTAAAATTGAGAAAATCAGGGAAAATAGATTAACATCATAAAGCTTTGATGTGTGCATTTTAGTAGTAATTCTAAGTACTCGCATTCAATAGTTGATGATGAGTTAGGACAAAAACAAAAAATTTGTGACACTTCATAAAGAATATTTCTTAAACCGATTCTGTTCATACATAGTTTTCTGAGATTTTAATCCGGAACAACGACGTAAAAACAATCCAGTTGATAAAGCTTTGATGTGCGCTACTAAAAGCGCTACTAAATACTCATGCATTCCATATTTGATGAACTAGGACCATAACAAAAGGAAAAAAAAAATAGTAACAATTTATATAGAATATTCTTCTAACTCATTCTGTTCATGCATACTTTTTTCTGAGATTTTAGTGGGAAAAAATTTCTTTATGAAACATTAAAATCATAGAACTTTGATTAGGACATTTCAGTGATGATATTAAATAATTGCATGTTTCATACCTGAGGACGGATTAATTCTCCAATATATTCAATCACAAAGTCTTCCGCCTCTATTGACTCCAAGGCAACAATACCCCAGTCATGTATTTTACTTCTTTGAAAACGTAAACGTTTTTTCCTTGCCTGAAAATTGACAAACAACCTTCAATTAAAGTATTCACATAACTAGATAAAAATATACAAGAAAACATTAAGAATTCTTTAATCACCTTCAATTGAGTGGCTTTCAGAAGATCAGCACCTTCCGCAGCTGCAAGAAGGTTACGCATTTTCACTCTATTTGTGCGTGCAGAAAGAACCTTACAATTTGACCAATGAAATGGATTACTATCAGATGGTACAGAGTTCTTTTGAACACAGAGTGTTCCCCTAACATGTGCTCTATCAGCAGAACTGGCATTTACAGACCATTTATGCCATTCCCACCCATCAATAGAAGTCCTGGCACATCCGTCAGATCTAGGGCATGACTTCAATGGCTTGGATTTAGCAGACTTCGTCTTTGACATGGCGTGTCCGCCAACTCCAACCTTTGAACCGTCATTAGCAATCTTCAAAACCTTTGAAGGACGTGAGGATGGCATGTCATCAGCTAGATGCTTCCTTTTTAGTTTTGATGCTTTATTTGTCACTACAAAAGAATGCACGGTTAAAAATAAATAAAAATCTAGCTTGAACTTTTTTTTTAAAAAAAAAAAATGACCCTAGGCAGATTAGTTTAAACAAACAGGAAGGCGATAAGCATATATGAATTCAACAAGGGCAAGATTATTAATAGAAAAGCTACCATTAAGAGCTCCCTTGGAGCAATGACGAGTGGACTTTCCATGAATGGCACCATCACGACCACTGCTATCAACTGCTTTTTTCTTGCCAACGCTATTTTCCACAACAGCTAAAATCTTCTCTCCATTACTTTTCTCATCATTCTTTACATCATCTAGATTTTTTTTTTTTTTGGGGGGGGGGGGTGTTGGGACAACATGTTATTCTTTAAAAATGATTTACCGAAAAAGGGTCAACAACTGCAACGCAAAAAAATCACATACCTTGGACTTCCTGTGAATGCTTCACTAATTTTTTACTAGTTGCATTATTTATAGACAACTTCTTACTCTGCAAGTGCCTTTTAGCACCAGCAGCGAGAGACTTTCCATTAGCCTGTTTATCCTTCTTCCCTTTTATCAGCTTGGTCTGCACAGTTTTATCAGGAGATATTCCAACTTTGGCAGAATCATCCAAATCCCCAGAAAAACATTTCTTCTTCTTATCAACTTGTTTTTTGACTGGTGCAGTTATGTGTTGAGAAGAATGTCGCTCTTTCTGTGGCAGCTTCTTTCGATGATATGTATATTTCCCAACCATCCGAGAATTTTCTGATGAAGAACTTTTGGGTATTTTCTTCATTCTTCCCAGAGTTGGATTGTTCAAATGTTCCCCAGATGACTTCAGTATTTTCCCTTCCTAGAAGGAGAAAAAAACAAACAACTAAAAAATATGAATTGTGATTAAAAGACATTGGAAGAAAATTAGAGGCACAGAGAGGTAGCAAACAAGGTGAGGGTCAATATTTACGTTCCTGAGAATATCAAATGACCCAATGCTCACCTTGTAACCATCAGGCTGGCTGATCTTCTTTGTAGTGCAGAATGATGCAAAAAGTTGATCAAATGCAGCATCAAGAAACAAAGATTTCCACTCTTCAAGAACCTCAGAATGCAATTTCTGTCGGCATAGGGCTGTTGTAACATATTTTGTTATCTTAGGTACACTTTCAACTGATCTTGAAGGTCGATACTTATAATTGTATTGTGGGATAATAGTTTTTAAATTCTTTTCACATCCAGGAGGTGATATGTCGCCAATCTCCTTTTCATTAACCACATCACTTACATTGGCATGCAACTCCTGAAATGCACTTGAGAATAAAGTAGACATACGGTTTCCAGATATGGTATCTTGAAGACGATCTCCTTTCATAGCAACCTTATTGCCAGATAAAATCCGCTCTTCAGATGTTTTGTCACAAGATATCTCTTCAAAAATGTCATCAGTAACAGCATCCTAAAACATTGAAAGGGATTCTTCAACAAAACACAATTTAAACAAAAAGCATAACATTAACACTTCTATAAAGTTACCTTGTTCAAGTTGTCTTCTTCAGAACATTTAAATAATCTTTCCACTTCCTTGTCAACTAAACTTTTAATGTATTCAGTTAAAGATGCCTCTGATATCGAGTGAAGCTCATTCTCCACACTTTCAAGAATGCATATCAAATCTATACGATCACAGCCAGAAAATGACACCCTTCCATTTTCTGGAATATTACCATCTTTCAAGACAATAGAAGACGATTGACTACGATAGTCTCTCTCCAGTGCCACCACTCCACCATGAGGATGCCAAACAGCAACATGTTCAGAGGAAACTGGCCTGGGAAGCAACTGTAAATGATTGTTAAGATAACAACAGATACAACTAAAGCCAAAAAATCAAGTATGCATGCTACTTACAGCTTCTTCTGATGTGATCATTCCACCATAATCTTTATATCCATAAATAGATGGTCGAGGCTTACTACAAGTAGACCAACGTTGTCTCTTTCTCCACTTATGTATGTACCCTGCCATAGAGTCATAAACCACAGCATTCCACATGACTTGCATGCAATGATCACAAAGCACTTTACGAACAACAGCATATGAACACCAAAAGTTTTCAATGCTTCCAACTGATTTAGTGCTTGTTGGAGACACTCTGGAAACTTCACAAGACTGATCATCAAGCATTTGGGAAGATGCTGGCTCGCTTGTAAGAACCGTGCCTTTTCTCATCTCCACAGCAGCCTCAGTCTGTTGAAAAGAAGACATAACTTATTAAACTACTACACTGTTGAAAAACCTCTACACTATCAATCAATTATAGAGTAAAAAGACATCACCATTCTGCAGTCTAACAAGCTAGTCCCAGAAGGCTGATCAACTGAGTCATGCTTATGCCTCCGAGATTTCTTTTCAGTAACAAATTCTGCAATGTTGTTACTGATAATCTCATCCAACACCACCCTGCGGGCAGTTTTCATCACTCCTGAATGTAGCTGAGAACAAATTTCCTCAGATATTTCACAGATGAAGCTTCTGATATCACTACAAGCCCTGTCACTTTTGGAATCTGATCTACAGATATTTTCAAGCTTTCCTGTTTTCCATGCATTTATAGCAGACAAAAGGACAAAGGGGCTACACTTACTTTCAGTATGATGAATCTGTAAATTAACATAATTCACAAGCAACAGTTAGGTACAAGGACACTACTACCAAACAATGGTAAGCTAAGGATATAAAGTGATATTCATCAATATTGATTTAAAATGAACTAATGAATTATTAGAAGGGTTAATTTAGTTAATGCTTTTTATTTTAATTTCCAGATTAGTATTGCAATAAGATGCTAGCGAACAGACAATAGATTTACATCAAATGGAGAATAAATTCTATCCTAGTCCTTCTAAAGCTAAATGTTACAAAGACTGGAGGTTTAAAAACTTCATACATTCTTTTCTAACATCTAGATTATGCCCTAAAAAATATGTTGGTTTCATTAGAGTCCTTTAAGAAAACGTTTAATCAAATGCAATTTTAAATGGATCTATTAGAGAGTCAATTAGAAAAATACCAAAAAGGAATTATTTAAAATAATGACAACGAGTTATCTTGTCAGGTTATTTCTCCACCGGTAAGAAATTTTAATCTGGTTTCTGACAGTCTCTTCAGCAATTGGTGGATAACTAACAGGGAAACAATATTCCAGCACTCAATCAAAAAGTGGACCAAATCAAGAATCCAAAGTTTTTGCCTTTGAAAAAACAAGCAACAAGTTATTTCCGATCTATGGCCAGCATCCAGATATTTAAAAGGTAATGAGATGAAAATAAAATTTTAAAAAAAGAAAATTCAGTGCATCAAAGAGAGAGCCATAAATGGCATCTCATCAGCAGCAGGATGCAGACTAAATATTAGTTTACAAAACCCCAATTTATATCTTACCACCGATGAATCTCGGAGATGTCCATAATGATGCCAGGATATTAATTCCAAAATGGAATGTGGTCCATGCTTCATTCCCTTTTCATCCTCATAAAGCCAACAGCATTCTTCATGTAACTAGAATAAGATGTGAAATACACAGGTCAGAAAGGCAAATAAATATGGTAAAATGACTACCATAATGACACTGTATAGCTTAACATTAAGCAAAAGTTACACCACCCTCAGACAAGATTTATGCAATTGGGTACCTTTGAGATCGGTGTTAAGATTTCCTTACTGGTGTAGCTGAATGTGACAGAGAAACTAACTGTGAATCAAGGTTGACAGCTACAGAAGGAGCGTGCTCAAAGGATCCTTGTCTATATGATGTCATATCCTTGCCAGATGATGTGGAGCAACCTGTAGGCGTGGTTAGAACTGAGCGACTTGTGCTCAGATATAAGAACCCTGTGGAAACATGGTCAGGAAACTGCTTGAAGTAGTTCAATGGTACAGGGTTCATTAATGTGCCATTAATCACAGGATACACAGGAAGCTCAACTGGCAAGAAACCAGTAGTTAATCCTTCATATAGTTGGTCCTGAATATAGGGACCACACATTTGTCCATTTTCGTTGACATACATCCAACCACTAACAAAAGCAGGCTGCATATAGCCAGGATGACTCTGATCCTGAAATGAAATATTTCCTGTTGTAAAGCATACAGGATCATCAACGCTTTTAATATTTGACTGGCAGCTCATATCCAATCCAGAATCTGAATCAAATCTATCATCAAGACTGCAACAAGATGGTATATCACCAATAGCCCTGCAAAAGAGGGAAAAAGTTGTAAGCAATAGAAAAGGAATAATTTTGTTAAAAAAAAACAAAAGAAAAGGAAGAATAAATTTTAAAAAAATTCACCAACATGCACTGTGTGAGAGCCTTAAAGGACAAATTCTTCTAGTTAAGCAGAAAGACAAATAAAACCAAGTAGGAGCAAACAATATTATAGTTTATACCCATCATTGAAAAACTGGAAGGTCCAAGAAGGGATCAAAGTAGAGTAAAATAGAAACATTATGCAGCCATGGGTAGTGACAAATCGAAATAAAGAGAATAAAGAAGTGAAAGCCCCTGAAAAGGGGATACATCCTCCTCAAGTACATCTCATCTCTAATCAAGACTGAACAGCCAACTTGAGATGCCAAAGGCCTAGAAAAAGAACATAACCCCCAGAAATAAATCTCAATAGACTCTATGATCTCTAAATGGGACATCACATGTCATTATTCACTTTTTGCAGACTTGATCTAAGCTGCCCCATGAGGATGTTAGAAATGTAAGCAATGCATAATTTCAGAAAGAAGCCATTAGTCATGCTTTGATACTTTCAGAGCATGACAAATAGATAGCAGATAACATAGGAGCTGTCAACTGAAGGGAAACTACACAAGAAAAGATAGAGGCTATATTAAAACTGTAACCATGAGCATAGTAAAGCCATTAGAACCCCAGTAATCGGCTATCAGAACAATTTGCAATCAACACATTCACCCAGAAAAAAGTTGTCCGCATTCAAAGCCTAACTGCAAGGTGTTCTAAGAGGCTTTAAAATATCTAAGAAATTGGTCCTACTAGTATGGCCGTCAAATATCCCATTTAACAGGGTCTTTTGCCTTGAAGGGTAATGAGAAGCAGGGTATCCAATATTTCAGCTTTCACACATATATTAAAATTCTAGAAAATGGACCAAGAAATGTCATGCTCGTTCATGCTCGGGCAGAGGTAAATCAATATGCTGACAACCAGGAAAAGTTTGTCATTATCTAAGGCTGAACTGTGGTGAGTTCAAAAACACTTGAAACAATCTATAATTTTGGGCATTAATAATTAGGTCGTCAAATGTAACCACCTTATTGGGGTTTTAGTGCATGTTTGGTTTCATGCTGCAAACCACCAAAACCACAATTTAGTGGAAGCACTCCAAGGACATTTTGATGGCTTCCAACGTGAAACCAACCAAACCATTAGATTCAAAAGGTAAAGGGGAAGAAAAAGGCCCAATACTTAGGCATAGGCCCGTTAGTTTCCCCATAGGGGGAAAGAAAGAAAGAAAAGTTTACAGGCTTGGAAGATGAAGAATAAGCAATTTATGTAACAATAGTAAAAATAAGGACCTTTCTACATCCAGATGCGAAGATAATGGCGCATCACTGGAACATCCTGCGTATGCGTGTGGATGTAGATCTTGATATCCAAAATCTGATACTCTCAGCCTCTTCCTGGAGAAAGAAAAAGGGCCATCTTCATGCATAAAGGCTGCTGTGAAGACCATGAACCATCCCAATGAAGCGCTATCCGACAACTGGGTCAACCAAAAAAAAAAATTGTAAAGCAATTAAAATACACCAACAAATTTAACAGTTTAAATTGGGAATAAAAAAGGGGGAATTTATATGTGCCCAATATTGTTATCAATTCTACAGTTAGAAGGTTTTTTAATCAAACTTTGTAGCCAATGATCAATCAATAATAAGTTTGAAATTGCGCTCTTTCAAGGAACTGAGGGCAACAATCAATTACACAAACATCATCCAAGGGAGAAAAAATCCAGCAAACAGTTACCATATTTTGTTTGACTCTCTCTTCCTAACAAAGGATTTCATTGGTAGGTTGTGATTAACTGTAGAAGAGAAGATGTTGCTTTCTCTCTCTCTCTTCCCCCTTTTTGTTTTTTGTTTTTCTTTGGTTTTTTTTTTTTTTTGCCTGAGAAAATAGGTTTCAATGATTAATTACATGTAATTGGCCACTGACCTTATGCTAACTGAAACAGACAGAAAAGAGACACAAGCAACAAAGTGGCCCATGCACCACAGGAGATAGGTGGGTGTTATGCGATATAATAATAGACAAGAGACAAATGCATTGCCTGCAATTCACTTAAACTTTGCAGAATGAAAAGGGGTAGATGACTGAAGTATTTTAAGATGGAGTGTTGACTGCTGTGAAATTCATGTGTTGCAAAGAATACAGTTGAGGTTTCAGATCAAGTAAATAAGATGAAATTGGCAATAAAATGTTTCTGTTTCAGTCGCAGGATGTGCAGGTTTATGAGGACTTAGAAATAAGAGACATTAAATGGATTAAGTTTGCCATATATGGCCGGCAGCAAATCAGCCAAAATTTAAAGTAATTTAATGAATGATCGGGATAGCTCAGATGGTAGAGTAGAAAACTGAATATCCTCATGTCACCAGTTCAAATCTGGTTCTTGTTACATGATTAATTTGTATAACTATCAAGTAAATTCATTAAAATGAATATGGGTCAACATATATAATTCTTAGCTAACAGTTGACTGCTGAGCTATTGAGGAACAACCGGGAATTAGATCTCATAGAGGTTTAAAGATTTATCAGGTGTGCGATATCGCATTGTTCGAGAAACCCTAGATGCTATTGAAGTAAAGGATTGTCAATGAGGGCGTTCTAGTGTATGATTGATGATTTGAAAATTTACACATTAAGAAGAATCAGGGTGATAATAACTTACTAAAAGAATTCTACCAATATTTTATGCAATTGCTCATTAACCCAAATGGCGACCTCATGCCCAGGGCATACCACTTTTACAATCAACAATTCAAAGAAAAATGACGTCAGCACTCGTACAATAATTACAGTTCAATTCTTCACAAGTTTAATTGTAGCTTTATGGACCAAAATATAGAAGGTAACTGACTCGACAAATTTTACATAGTACAACCCATTAGAAGAATATAGAAGAAAGCACAAGAAAATCCATCCATATATAAAATAAATAAGAATACATGATTTTAGTCTACCTTGATCTTAAAATTCATTAAAGCACAGTCACGATAACAAAAGCCTATTTTCTGCATGCTAAGGATTCTATTTAATAGTTTATTGTGCCATTGACAATGATATCATTAACAATTAATTTGTTCAAGTAAAAAATTTTAGGATTTATTACGAGGCATGACTTGAATCCCACGTCGCCAATCCAATGTAGGTTTTATTGGGCTCTTTTGGCTCCCCAGCCTCTGCGCTAGCTTTTTGGGGTATATATCTCTACCAAAAGTTCCTACCAGTGGTGTCTAAACTTGACCCAATTCCTTCAATGCCAGAAAAGGGCTACCCTAGAGAGCTAGAGCTACATCAAGATGAATGTGTAAGCTGCGAAGACCTCAAATGCCACCTAGGAGCATTGTGGTTGGCGAGCAAGCCATCTAGAGTGAAGGAGCCTACAAGGCACATATGATTTAAGTCCCACATCGACAATGTAGAATTATGGTGTGGGATTCGCATAAGCCTTCAGTTGTCCAACCTGAAAAACCAAAAACCTCATGGGCCAGCTTCTGGGGTAAGGCTTTCCGAAAGTTCTTATATATTTCAGTGGGACTTACATAGACCTGTCTCTTTATAAAACATAGTCGGAACTATATTATGCCCCCACTGAAATCTTTGAAATATGAATAGATATTATACCCTTTTAATTTTTGTTCCAGCCTTCCAGATACTTTGATGAAGATGCCTTAGTAAGCCAACTGATTCAGGCAGCTCCTCCAAGCCACCGAAGAATGACAATGTGAACTCAAGCTTCTAAATTGCCAGACACAACTCGAGCCATGTCATTCACCAGATCATGCATCACAAATACCTTTGAGAATTTTCTAAATTGATGATAATGGAAAGATGTTAATAAACAGAATGCCGATACAACGTAAATCCAACATTGCACAACACAGCAATCCAAGGCATATAAGTCGCTAGTAATCAAAACGAAGAGGGCAGAAGTCCAATGGCCGATTACAAACCATTGAAAAAAAGTAGTAATCAAAGTTTAAAAATAAAAAATAAACTCAATATTTATTCAAAAGCGTCGCCATTCAAACGATTACCCGACCAGATTCAAGCCAACTTAGAATGAAAATTTTCAAACAAAGCAAGAAACGGTGCGACGGCAAGCGGCACAGGGTGGACAACCATGCAGGGAACAGATGACGCGGGGAACAAATTCAAATCTAGATACAAAGCCAGATTGGACAAATCAATCTCACCGGATTTTGAGAGTAGACAAAACCCTAGGGTTTGATCCTTCTTAAATACTCGCCGGAGGGCTGAAAACGGTCGACGGCTTCCCACAGCGTGGAATGTTTGCTCGTCGCCTAATTAAGAAAAATGGTTCCACGAGACGAGATAGTGTTTTTATTTCCATAAATTTCACGGGACGAAAATAAAAGATAAAAAGAAGTTATGAATAAATCTTAATTTGATAATTTTTCTTTTGACCAGCAATTTGATAATTATACACTATTCCTCCAACTAGTTACATTACAAAATAAGTCTTATATTTAAAACCAGTTATACTATAAAGTCGGTCTTACATTTAGAATTAGATGAGAACTTTGTTCAAAAAATTATGTCACAAATTTTATATTTATTATATTAAGTTCTCTAATTACAAAAAATCATATGTCCTATTTTTAAAATATTAATATTTAATTATAAATTCACGTTAAGTGAAAAAAATACATATCACGTATGATTGAAAACTCGAGGGGAGAAAAAAACAGAAAAACAAAAGATGAGCTAACCAAATGAGGTCTTGGGAAAAAGAAGACAAAAAAATGACATATTAACTTCATAATACCCAAAACGTCTGCTGAATTTAAGAAATCCTATTTTGGTCTCAAGAGACCAAATTTGGATTATCATGTTAAATAAAAAGACCAAATTACCCTTTATTTTATTTATTGTTTTTAAAATACTAAAACCCCCACTGGCTAGTCGGTTACCGGAGCTCCGGTAGCAACAATCACTGGAGCTCCGGTGACCGACTGACAACTGGTCACCAGAACTCTATCGGTTGAAAAAAAAAATTTTGAAAATTTTCACAACTTCAATATAACGGTTAACAACTTTTGTAATGCTATTAACAACTTCAGTATAATAGTTAACAACAGGTTTTCTGGGAAATTCAACAAGCTCCGGCAGTCGGAAAATTTTTTTTTGAAAATTTTTACAATTTCAGTATAACGGTTAATAACTTTTGTGATGCTATTAACAACTTCAATATAGCAGTTAACAAAAGGTTTTTTGGGAAATTCAATAAGCTCCTATGGCTGGAAAAAAATTTTTTGAAAATTTTTACAATTTCAGTATAATAGTTAATAACTTTTGTGATGCTATTAACAATTTCAGTATAGCAATTAACAACAGGTTTTCTGGAAAATTCAACAAGCTCCGACAGCCGGAAAAATTTTTTTTGAAAATTTTTACAATTTCAGTATAACAGTTAACAATTTTTGTGATGCTATTAACAATTTCAGTATAATAGTTAACAACAGGTTTTTTGGGAAATTCAACAAGCTCTAGTGGCCAAAAACAATTTTTTTGAAAATTTTTACAACTTCAGTATAACAGTTAACAACTTTTGTGATGCTATTAACAACTTCAGTATAGCAGTTAACAACAGGTTTTTTGGGAAATTCAACAATTGATCGCCAGAGCTCTGGAGGCCAAAAACAATTTTTTGAAAAATTTTTACAACATCAGTATAAAGGTTAACAATTTTTGTAACGCTATTAACAACTTCAGTATAGCGATTAACAACAGGTTTTTGAGTTTGTTAACGGCATTACTAAAGTTGTAAAAATACTACTTTTTGAATTTACCGAAAAACCTGTTGTTAACCACTATATTGGAGTTGTTAATAGAGTTATAAAAGTTGTTAACCATTATACTGAAGTTGTAAAAATTTTCCAAAAAAAATAGTTGTTAAAGTTATAAAAATACCTTTTTTTTTTGAATTTTTAACAAAACTTGTTGTTAAATGATATACCAAAGTTGTTAATAAAATTACAGAACTTGTTAACAACATTACTAAAGTTGTAAAAATGTTACTTTTTGAATTTTTTCGGAAAACTTGTTGTTAACTGCTATACTGAAGTTATTAATAACATTACAAAAGTTGTTAACTATTATACTGAAGTTGTAAAAATTTTCAAAAAAAAAAAAGTAGTTGCTAAAGTTATAAAAATGCCATTTTTTTGAATTTTTAAGAAAACATGTTGGTAAATGCTACATCGAAATTGTTAATAGAGTTACGGAACTTGTTAATAGCATTATTGAAGTTGTAAAAATGTTATTTTTTCAATTTCTCTAAAAACCTGTTGTTAATAGCGTTACAAAAGTTGTTAACCGTTATACTGATGTTGTAAAAAAAAATCTATTTTGACATTTTATGAACTTTCAATTTTTCATCTATTTTGACATTTAAAAAAAATCTCGTAAAATTTTTAATTTAAATAATAAGTACGAATAAATTGAAGAGTGAAATCGTTGTGCAAATTAATCTGCAAAACTAAATCAAATCAAATAACCAAAAGGATCACAACTCAATATACCAAAGTACAAATCACACTTTATGTAGTTAGTGACCATAATATACTTGCATATGATATAGTGATCATGCGGTTTGTCTCCACTTTGCCCACAGTAATTAGCCTCTTGAAGGACTTTGTTTATCAATATTTATTTGACCAAGTTAATAAAGAGAATCCTCATGACTTTGTCCTTTGAGGAGAGAACTTAGTTTGCACTTTGACTCTATTTACACCTTTGGTTGGGTATATATTGAATGCAGAGCTTTGATCCATTTAATGTATAGGCTAGATCATAGATAAGTATATGATTGCAGTTAGTGGTAGAAGTCTAGACAAAGCGATGAAGAAAATTGCATATATTGCATACTAACATGTTATGCATGTAACTATTATGAATTATAATATGATATTCCATACTAATACACCAAATGATGATAATATAAACTGTTTGTGTGCCTAGATTATGATTTCTTGTATTATTTTTTTAAAAGTATTTTTCAAGTGAAAGATCAAGTAAGAAGCAAGGAGAGCCACCATAAAAGTAAGCTTACAAAGGCTCTTTCATGCTCCTCTTATGGGACACATGATGGCTTCACCTACATTTGATTTTTTTCACGACTCTAAGACTTGTCTTTTAGTTCTATTTTCAAGTACATGCGGTTTAATTTAGATTATGACTCTAGGAAAATAATTTATTACTGGAAGTTATCTAGACTTTATATTTTCAAAATGTTAGAGAATGTGATATATTTGAAATTCCTAAAGCCTTATGTGGTTCGCACGCGTTATATGGTAACTATACATGACGGGTGTTACATGCAACTAGGTTGGGACTCAGCATGTAGCTGTAGAAAATATAAGTCCAACTTGTCAAGATAGCCTATTCTACCCATCTTTTTGTCATTACTTAGGCCTCGAAAATTGTAGATCTTGGGCTCAATGGGATTTTGGGTTGGCAGGGCTTGGGATCAAACTAGCTCATAAGCCCATTTTCTCTTCTTCTTCTTTTTTTTTTACTCTTTCTTGTTTTTCTCAATTTTCTAAGCACCAAGACACAACTAATAGAAGTTAAATTTAGTGAAAGAGACTAGTTTCTCGTGATGTGATAAATCAAAATTTGAATTCTTGTTGTGAGCACATTTAATATCTTATAATGCCTCAGATAAGATTACCTTGAAGAATTCTTATACCTAGTAAAAAATAAGCAACAAAACACATGGCTCCAGCTCCAAGTGATGAAAATGAAGTTGGTAAAATTGTTGAGATATTGCCTCTAGCCCTCTACTTCCAGCAAATAATAAGCAATGCTTAGCTTACATGATTGGATATTGTTAAAATAATCATATTCAAATCTTAAGACATGAAAGTTTGTGTAAAATAAGGGTTTTCAAGTCAAAAAGTGCAACTCAAAGACTATATTGGATCAAATATATTCAAGCCATTGTGATAACTGGCTAAGCTATCTTGATCTATGCGCACGACTGCTGAATTTGCGTGGAGCTCTAATGCATATTCATGAGAACATATTGGGAGAAAAATATGCATATATGTAAATTGAGAAAGATCAATTTAAGAATAGAGCTGAGAAAATGAGTCGAACCCATCGAGCCGGCCTGTTTAAGTTCGTTTAAGTCAAGGGTCGGGCTTGTATTTTAAAGCCTTGAAAGAGAAGTCGGGTTTAAAAAGATTAGTCCTGCGGAACCGAAAAATAAATGGGCCTGCTCATTTAACCCCGTTAAACTTTTTTTAAAATTTCTAATTTTTTTTTCTTAACTTAAAAAAGGAAACCATAACATTTTAGATATAGCATATTCTTAGTTTTACTTATCCCAGCTGCTCACACAAATAGCATTCACAAAAAAAAAAAAAAGAATCACTATGGTTGTGGGAAAAATAACCAAAAAACGTGAACATTGCATAATTGAAAACTATGTATATTCACAAAAATGTATTGTTATTTATAAGTTGTCAAAACCCGTTAAAATATTGTATATGTAATTTTTACAGTCTTTATTTGTCATTCTCCCATATTTTTTATACTTGGAATAGGATTAATCAAAAAATCTTTTGAATTAAAATAAAGATCGATATCATTTTTATAGTTAGAAACAAAATTAGAGCTAAGGATGATGGACTCTTTTCTTTTTTGTCGGTAAGACAAATGATTATTCTTTATATATACTATATTTGTTAGTTAAACTTTTTTGTTAATTATTTATAATTAAACCAGATTATCCGTATTGTGATTATTTACTGAACTTGGTGCTTATTTAGTTGTTTATGTCTGTCCTCTATTTAGTTTGTTTATTTAATAAACTCTATTACATTGTGAGATATGTTTAGACATGATGATATTTATGTTTGTGACTCAATTTTATTTATATTTATACCTTTTATTAGTAATTTTATTGTTTTATTTTTATTATTTTGATAAAATATGTAAAAAAAAATGGTTCATTTTTGAAACTCGGATTTAAACGGACCGACCCATTTAAGCCCAAGCCTATGATGGGCTAGTATATAACTTTGAGAAAACAAATATCTATGTGGTTTAAGAACACTTAAAATATGTGTTTTTGTGACTTACAAGACAAAACTTCTTCCACGTATTTTTATTTTTTGTAATGCAAAATTATCTAAAATAAATTGAACAAAACACTTGTATACAAATGTGTTGTGTTATTTGAAAGTGAAACGAAAATTACTTGATATTACCAAAACAAATTGGGGTATGTTTGGATTGACGTTGGGCAAAATTAACTTTTAGTCCAACTAACTTTTGTAACTAAAGTTGAAGTTAAAGTTAGTTAGTATAATGTGATTTATGTTTGGATATATGCTTATAAAAAGTCAGTTAAAAAAGTTAAAAAGTTGTTTGGATGATTAATAGAAAAGTTAGTTTAGTTGTAAAATGACTGAAAAGGATATGGACTTTATTGAATAGTGATATTTAAAATTTTATGTTTTTAATGTGATAATAGTTTAAAAAAATATGTAAAATTATTATGATAAAATATAAATAGTTTATTTGTGTAATTATAAAATAAAAATATTTGTTACGGAGAAAAATTTGAAAACACATTATAGATAATTAATTAAATATACATAATAGACAAACATGAATATAATTTTAAATTTATTTGGTCTCTAATCAAAGTAAATGAAGTCACATAACTAATTAGATTATAAGATTTGCACAATTTTCCCATAAATCAATTAGAAAAGTTGATCTAGATTACGTTGGATAAGTCAGTTAGAAAAGTTACTTTTTTCTATAAGTCAGTTAGAAAAAAAGCCCAATCCAAACAATCTTCTGAGCCACAATAAGCCATAAACCTCAGTTTCATACTTCTCCGTGTATGTTTATCATCTGCAACGGCAATCCAAACGAGGCCTTACTTGATAAGACGAGAAAGCGGGGGGAAGAGAAGATGAGTTTTCCTCCCCTTCTTCTTCTCTTCTTCTGAAGATTGGTTTATAATAAAAAAGGGCAAAGAAGGGAGAAGAAGGAGGAATGCTCTTGGATGGCTACCGTATTAAATATTTTGTGGGGGAAACGAAGATTTCATAAAATTATCAAGGTTTTGGTATGTTGGTTTAACGATTAATTACAATCAACAAATTAGAAAAATCCTTGATAAATATCATGAAAATATTAAAAACCACGAGTTAGTGACTCCAATTTCAATAATTCCAAATTGGTCGGCATGTACTAAAATGAATTTTTAAAAAATTCCATTATTATCATATTGCCCCTCTTTTTTTCTCAAGAAAGCCACATCATCAAAACTTTCGTCAGTAGCTAGCCACCGAAGCTCTAGCACTAATGACCCCTGTTGGCGATCGAAGCTTTGGCACTTGGGGAGCTCTATCACCCGATCGGTTGTGAAAGCTTCAATGCTAGCAGCTATTAGCTATTGTGCTTTTTTGTGGCAATATTGGCTAATGAAATGAAGTAAATAACTAATGTATCTGTGGTAAATAGATATTTGCTGATCAATATACAAAAATCTAATTATGTGTTTATTAGCACGCACTGCCAAGTGAAATAGAAAAAGAAATAAATTCACAAGCCAATTGGACTAGTAGCCCACCCTCCAATATGACTGAACATATATATCGACATCATGAAAATGAAGTTATCCTGGACTGTTACTGGCAAGTCACAATAGAAGAAACTAGACACCACATTAATGCAAGAAATTAATTATATTTCAGATGTCATCATCATTATGAGGGCAAATTGCAAACCACTACTATAGTATTATATTGTTTTTAATTGTAATATATAAACGGCACGTGGTAATAATTGTTGACCCACATAAAAGAATAGAACATCAATGAACTGAAATTAATTACATTCATGTGATGGTGTGAACGATCTGATTTGGATTAAAGATTCATACACCCAGCCCGAGGAAAAGACAAGATGAACATGACTAATAAAATATCGAAGAAGATAAGGATATTGACTTTTGAGAGATAATTCAAAATATTGATGATGCAGACCCAGACAAACGTAGCCCACCATTACCTCCACTGTCCAATAATCCTTGGTCATTTGCCCCGTTTCTCACTCAGCTGAAATGCAGCCCTAAATTCGCTTCTATGTGCTCGTTTTTCCCCTGAAATTTTAGTTAAGCCATTTTAAAATATTATAAATTACTCCTCCAATGCTTAATATAAGATCTATTTAATTAATTTGATTATATTGAGAAAATTAGATAAATTAGTTAATTATAAGAAATATGACATGTTTTTCCCTAAAACACCATAATCATCTTTCTTAATGTCCCCTCTCCCTCTTCTACTTGATTGTGGTTGAGGGAGTATCCATAACGATAATTTAAAAAAAAATTAATAAATATAAGAAATAAGTCTTATATTTAAGATCAAAACTAACTTAACAATTAAGTCTTATATTAAGGACTAAAAGAGTAATATTTTTATGATCAGAATTGTATAATACTACTATTTTAAAGAATTTACTATCAAGTTTATGACGGTTAACAATATTAATATTATAAATTAATATTCAGATTACGGTTTGGCACAAATGAACAATATATGATTTGAATAAAAATTCTTGCCTCACTTGTATATGGACACATGCGTCCGAATATTCTGAAACTATATATTCAAAGTCTTTTTTGGTAGCCATTCTTTTCCAAAGAGATCTCATAATATCTAGACCCCGTGTAAAGGCTATAGTTGGCACTTGTTGAAATTAAGTGGTACTTTGAATTAACTTATTTGAAGTTATTTTTATGCTTCATATGATAAATATGGGGGAAAAAATTTTATCTCATAAAACACAAAAATGATTATTTGTAGTGAAATCCAACAGGTGCATATCAATAACTTATTCACACATCTAATGGAACCAAGCATATGATAATTATGTTTTTTTCTTCTAAACTTTAATTTTGTAATAACAATGTTCCTAATATCGAGCTCAGGTAAATGTAAGCAAGGTCTAGGCAAGTATAATAAGCAAGGTCTAGATAAGCTTGAGCAAGAGTCGGGGAAGTGTACAGTGGACAGATTCATGCAAGGTCTAAATAAGCGTGTGCAAAGGTTCGCGCAAGTGTGAGCAAATTCAGGCAAAACTCGGGGAGTTTGTAAAATTTTTTGCTATGAAATTTCAAAGTTTGTGACCAAAGCAATCAAAAGTTAGGGTCCTTAGATGTAATTTTGCTTAACTCAGTCGTTTTGACCAAAGGCCACCGCTACTTCTTTGAATCATCTCGTTCCCATTTGAGTATTTGAGGCCACCTTTGACTTAGTAGGAGGAATCACTTACTAATAGGAACAAATGTCATTGCGTAGAGTTCGCTCACTGTTGAGCGTTTCTATATTGTACAAAATACCTCGTAGTATTAATTATTAAATTAATTTTTTTAAAAAAAGAGTATAATATATCATAATACCAATATTCTTCGAGTGCTACGTCTCTCGCCGCTTATTTTTAATTCTTTAATAATATTTTTTTGGCCGAAATAATACTTTATATATAGCTACCGTCTAAGACCAAGACTCTTTAACTTCTATTATATTCATGCTTAGATCACGGACCCAGTTCATTGCATTAGATATCACTTTCTGTGTAAGTGACGATTTGACTTGAAAAATACAGAAGAACCTGAAGATGCAGGATCATGATCAACGGATGAAGAACATAATTAGAATGTAATTGAAATTAAATGTTGCATTAATTTAGTTTCGATTTCTCACAACTTTTTTTTTGGAAACTAATGAACAATTGCTCAACTTTTAACGCTTGATTTTCGTGTGCAGAAACCATAAGAAAAATAAATCATATTTGTCCTCACCGGCCCAGTTTATGTATTTGGTGATTTTTTTTGGGGAAACCATTAAAATTTAATTTAGAAGGAATAGGATCTGTTTTTGGATAGCACTTTTCATATTTCAAATGTGCTTTTGGGGAGTTTCGAGTGTGAGAAGCTTTAAATTGGAGCTTTCGGCAATATCATTTTAAATTTAATAAAGCTAAAATAGTACTTCACTATCAAATGAGCTTTATATTTAGGACAGGAAAAGTAATTTACTTTATGCTTTATTTCTTTTAGAATAACAAAACCTTTTTTTGGGGAAAAATAAGTATGACCGAATTATTTAATCTCATACGAATAATCAATATATATCTGCAAAATTGTGCATCATTCGCAAATCATAAACGAATTATTTTAGAATTTGCTCTACTTTATATATGTGTGTGTGTGTGTGTGTGTGTGTGTGTGTGTGTGTAAACGAGTAGTCATCCCTGGTTCAATTAAGATCAAGAGCAAGAACAATAATAATAAAAAGCGCCTCCTCTATATATATATATATATATCATGTGATTGGAATACAATAAAGATAATATAGTTTCCATGTACTAGTTATAAACCAAAGAAAGAAATTGAATTGAAAAACAAAATGAACACCATGAGTTATTCCTTGTGATGACACGGTAGGGGACTGTCTATCTATCCATCTATCTTATTCTCACATAAATGAAAAGGAGACGACAGATCTACAAAAGTATTAAGATAAACCCTAATGGGCCAAAAAAAAAAAACTTAACTTTGCTGTATCACATAATGTAATTACCATTCTGAATCACATCATTACTATGAGAGAAGAAGGCATTATTATTCACGGTCAAGTCATTCAAACTGTAGTTATGATCCACGATCATCCCGTCAGATATCTCCATGCTAGGCTTGGACGATGAGTTATTAATTAAACTTGAAAACAAGTCAGTGTTATTATAATCAAATAAATTATCATCACCACTTTGCTGCCGCCATTGTTGCTGATCTACAGTTATCTGCTGCTGCTGATGATACTGACGAACATGACGACCTCCTTCGTTATTGAAACCCGTGTTTCCAAACGGCGCTGCCGTGGCCGCCGGAGGCGGCACCGTTTTAACCGTCCTTGACTTGTTATTATGATGATGAACGACTTGTCGTCTTCCTTGTTGGAAATTTAAGGTGATAGGTCCCTTATAGACCTCGAACGACATGGCCGTACTACTAGGGCAACCTGTGAACTGCTGAACAAGTGCCCTAAAGTTGGTGGTGTTGGCGGTGAGGAGGGTGGTCGGGGTCCTCTTAGAAGCTCTGGACCTTCTTCGTATAGGTCTGGAGCCATTGTTAATGGCCTTTGGGCTGGTGGGACCAGGGCTAGAAGACGACGTCGTCGTGGCGACGGTATTAGCATCAGAGATAAAACCTTCCATGGCCGAAACCTCCTGAAGAAGATGATCATAAGTATCATCATCAGGACTTTGCTGGTATAACTGCATCATCCACTGGTGGTCGGTAGTTGCAGTCATGGTAGTATGATCACTGATCATACGTTTGGTGAAGAAGGTTTCTGATCGACAATGGAGGACAAGGACTTTGATGAAACACACAGGTTTGAAAGAGGGAGATTGTAAGTAATGTACTTATAGTAACGCGTGAAGTGGAGGAATTTTTGTGTTGGTCAGAGTAAAACATTCAACCTTTTGACTATTCTTCTGATGTAGACGGAAAGAGAGACTTGAGGACAAAGCAGAGGTAGCTTCCTCGAAACAGCAAATGTTCTATCCATGTTATTAAAACGCAACCCTGAGTTAAGCAGTTAAATTAGTGAATCGTAGACTGATATCGTAATCAGTTTGATTAAGAGTTTTGGATTGGTTAACTTAGTTAAATTTTATTTTCCCCCTCTCCCCCTCTTTATTAAGCCTAAAACAATGTCAAAAACTATCTTGTTAGATTATAGTATCCAGTGCTAAATATAAGAGCTTGAGTAGATTAAAAAAATAAGTTAAGTTAGTTATTTGTGGTAAATAGGTGTTATTTTTCTAAAATATCCCTACTAATCAAGTTTATTGATTGGAACTACCATTATTAGAAGGACTATTTGAAAAAAAATGGATAAATTTGAAAAATAAAGTGGATTAGGATCTTATATTTAGGATCAAAATAAAAGTCAAATATGCTCTTATATTAAGGACCGAAGGTAATAGTTATGTTTTAGTAATTCTGTTTTATTGGATTATGTGTGGTTGATATATTAATTCTTTACTACCTCCGGTTTTAATATAAGAACTCATTTGACTTTAATTTTAATCCTAAATATAAGACCCTTATCCATTTTGGCTCTCATATTTATCCATTTTTTTTCCTAAAATAGGCCTTATAATAATAGTAGTTCTAACCAATATACTTTATTAGTAAGGATATTTTAAGAAAGACAATACCTATTTATTATGAGTAACTAGTTAACTGAACTAATTTTCTTAATCTACTGAAATTAGTCAACTAATTTTTATATTGATGATTGAAGTTAGTGTTTATTTATGAATTATAGTATCTTTTTATCTAAATATTACTCATCCCAAGGTTATGTGTGAATATTTTTACATTTAAACTAAATTATATCATCTTAATTATTATTTGTCTGATCCTGAATTTACTCTAGTGTAAGCCATTACCCCTTAAACTACTGCGTTGAATGATTCAGTGGCTGGTCTCATTTTTAATACCTTACTTTTATGATACTGACGTAGCATGAGAAATCTCTCAAAATCATGGGCTTATGTCATTATTGGACTCGCCTGGTTTGTTATATTTTGAAGCATTTAATTTGATTTGAGGCGGTCTTTGTGTGGTTTGGTCAGAAAAATGTGTACCCCAGGGTTGAAATACTTAATAAGATTGTGACTTGAAGGTATTTTTATGTGCATAAGGCGTCCGTATGGGTTTGAATTTTAGTTAAGTTTAATTTCACACTTAAACACATATAAATGGTAGTATCCGGCCGGATTCTTTATTCCAACCATTTGGATCAGTTCCAGGCAATTAAAAATAATGTTGAGGCTGATTTAATGAGTAAAACCTACGCTGTATCTCAATGTACAATTAAATGAAGCTAAGTATACATAAGATTATAAATTCAATTCCTTATTAGAGTCACTTTAGTGTACATAAGATAAGTATGACAAAATTTAATGGGTCCCATGTTAATGGGACTCATATTAAAACTGTGGTATAGTGATTTGTGTCTATCAACAATGCGTTATTAAATGAGATATATTTATATATTAATTTTACAACGTAATTATGTTTTAATCGCATCAAATTGTGTCTGTTGCTTTAGAAAACTTTATTATTCCCTCATATTTTCATAGTACGATCATTTATACAAATGGAAATTATTTTAATTAACTTGGATATATGTGCATTAAATTTATGAATTTAATTAATTAGATTGGTTAATTTTTTTGTTTGTGATAAAAATGTTGAATGAGTAATGAAATTACTTTTATAAGTTCATATAAAATTATATTTTACTTTTCAAAGATAAAACAACTGTGGATTGGATTGACTTAGACGGATTAATTAGTGGGGCACCATGTTGAGGTCTACTGTTAACCACTATTCTCCCGCCCACCACAGCTTGTTCAGTTACAAACCATTATTTCAACAGTCAACACCAAGCCATGAAAATGATGTTGTGCATTCAATTTGTTTGATCATACTGCCTCCCTTTAAGACTCAGTTGATTAATGTGGACATATTAATAAAACTAAAAAATTATGTTAAAGCATTTATATTTTTACTATTTTTTTCCAAATTAATTTTCTGAACTTATAACATGATATCTAATCCAATGATACACATAAGTATTTCAAAAATATCATGTAAAATATGATATAATGAAATAATGTTTTAATTTTCTTAATCTCTTAAATTAGTCAATTGAGTTTTATATTGAGGACTAAAGGTAAAACTACCTCCAATTCTCAGTATAAAATCTAGATAATTAATTTGTAAATATTAAGAAAATTAATTTAAGTTAAATGAATAGGTATTGGTTTTCTTAAATTAGCATTTATAATACGGATATTTTAAAAAAATAATAAATTCGTAATTTCAATCTATTTTATTTTTTAAGTTTACAATTTTTCAAAAATTTATTTATATTGATCACACATATCAAAAAATATTTTTAATTTAATTTTTTTTGAAAAGGATATTTAAAGAAAATGAACCAACATTTTTATAAATAATTAAATTAATTAATTTTTTAATCTTTATATATTATAAATTAGTTATGCAGCTTTTCCATTTAGAATAGAAGAGAATATTATCCAAAGCTCTGCATTCACGCCTCACGAGGGACTTGATAAGAACTCGGCTATCAATACGAGGATAATAATTTAATTATAAGTATTTTTTTATATTCGATTTTCAAGTCATAAAACTTGCTTGAATCTCAATAAAAACTGGAAACCCACCCATATGAAATTTTTATTGTAAAGAAAATAGGAAAAATTTATGTATTAAATTGTCATTCTAAGTTATGATGGATATTGTATCGCCCAAAAAAAAAAAAGTTATGATGTCTATGAGTATCGCTTACTCTTTTTTCTTTTTTTTTTTCCCCCGGAAAAGGGTTCTTATCTATGCTGATTATGGGATTAATTAAAACAGATTAACAAGTAAATAAAAGTTGTCAACAAAGTAGTTCTTTTTTTCTTTCCGGTGAGTCTTTGTGCATTAGGTTGTACTTTAGATTTTTTGAGGGTTTAATTTTTGACCTATGGCTATTGGTGTTTGTAATTGTTTTTTGAATATTAATAAAATTGACTTTTTTGGCAAAAAAAAACAAAGTAGTTATTTTTAGCCAGGAGATAGCATATCAAATTGAGATAAAAGCATGCAGCATGTTATCTTAGAAAAGAAATATTAGCCTGCAACTTACTATATGTGTAACAAATTAAATAAAATGAGCTTAATGCATGAATCATGCTACCTAACAACGAAGTTGATAAATGAAGTCACACCTTTATTGACCATTATTACTCCCTTCCGTTCTATATAAAGTATATGGAGACAGAACTGGTTGTGTGCTCCTTTTCACAAGGTAGTACTATTTTGATTATATTTATTATATTTTCTTTTCATTTTACTCCTATTCAATCTTCAAGTAGAAAAATATGGAACATTTTAAAAAATGCATTTAATATGAATAAAAGAAGGATTATGTTTTATGGTTTTTATTAATTCCGGCGACAAATATAGAAATTAACTTATAAATGGGATCGGATGCAATATAATTGAATTTCTCAAATTTTTCTTAATAAAAGATAATCAAGGACATGATATATTAAATGTGTTCATTGAACGTAGATGTGAATGATATGCTAATGAAAATATATGTGAGGTTTGACTGCAAAATTATTTAAGGTAAGTGAGGGTTTAATTGTAAAGGATCAAAATACTACTCCTGTAGACTGTAATATCTCTAATTCTTAATATAAGTGTTAATTAGAAATTAAATTTAGTTTTAAATATAATACATCAATCCGCTTTTATCTCTTAAATTTATAATAATTTTTCTAAAATATCTTTATTGATCATAAGGATTCCTACCAATGGATAGTTCTATTGCATATAATTAAGGGTTAATTAATCCGCAAATCCTTATAGTTTCAACGAATTTTGAATTAGGTCCCTATAGTTTTTTTTCTTTTTATCAGGTCCTTATACTTTTACATTTTTTTAATTAGGTCCTTATATTTATTTATTTTTAATTAAGTCCTTATAATTTCACTAAATTTTTAATCAGGTACATGTAGTTTTAATTTTTATTTATTAATTAAATATAAGCTTAATTAAATAGATTAATACTGAAATATAAAATATTAATAATTAAATTAAATTAATAATTATGTAATAAAAAAGTAATAGAATTAATTAATTCAGGAAAATTTTTTAGAACAATTAATTTTTTTCTGAAAAAATTAAAATCATTATAATAATTCAATATATTTAGAATATTATTGTTTATAAACTAATATTAAATAATATATACTATTTTATGTTTATATAATAGTACTATTAGAATTTATAAAATAAAGAATAAAAAATTCAGGGACTTAATTAAAAATAAGGTGAACTTATAAAGACTTGATAAAAAGAAAAATAAATACAAGGACCTAATTAAAAATAGGTGAAAGTATAAGGACCTGGTAAAAAGAAAAAAAACTATAAGGATCTGATTTAAAACTAGTTGAAACTATAAGGAGCTGTGGATTAATTATTTCTATAATTAAATATGGTAGTTTGGTAAAGTCAGTACATATTTTTAATTAACCAACTTAACTAGCTTCTTTAATATCTCCAAATTAGTTATCTAGATCTTATATTAAAGACTGGAGGTAGGAGCTCTTATTGTAGTGCATCTTCTCTAAGTAACTTTTGGTCTCAAATATAAGTCATTAACAGCCTCATTAGTTAATTATTTTTTTTATTTTACTCTTTTTATTAATTGAAATTTAAAGTTGAAAAAAATTAAATCACGTTATTTGAAGAGGTGTGAAGTAAGAAAAATTTATTAATTTAAGACCAAT